TCAGGACTGGCAAATCGGGTAGCTTACCAAACTGTTTCTTATGACAAATACACGAAATAAATGATAGAAAAGAAAACTAAAAGCTGAGATAGCTCCACAACGCTCTATTGGACGAACAATTAAGAGTAGTGTGTTAAATTAACCCACAAAGACAGTCCACTGAGTTTCTCACCGGATCTCCTCAGTGGGTCGTGTTTCCGATCTGGTTGTAGATTTTGCGAAGCACGGCTCTTGCTAGGGTTAGTGTAATCAAACTTCGTCAGGTTTAAGCCCCGTGAGCTCACCTACTAGTTAAGGCAACGCTGAAATGATCTCTCAAGAACATCAGCTCAGGTATAAAAAGAAAAAAAAAATTGAAAAAAAAGGACGTACTGCCTTCATTTTTGTTCTTTAAAACGAAATAGTACTCAATAAATTAGGACGTCTTTGTGTGTCTAATATATATAATTCGTATAACGCAAATCTACATTAAAACGAATTCACGTATTAAATTTGCCGCATCCACCCCCTTAATGCATCAATGGTTGATTACGTATGCCGCTATCTAATTTTAAACATTGCACATCCATTCTTGTGATGCTAAGCTATGTTTTGTTTACGAAAAAAAAAACACACACACACACACACAGTGTTATAAATGACCGTACTTAACTGATAACGTTCAATGTTTGTGTTGCTTTAAAAATGTATGATTGGGCATCATCATGTGATCTGAACGATTTTTATTGGTGCGAATATAGCCGTAAGACGTTTTATAATGCTAGAATTAGTTTTCTAAGTGATTTATTTGAGTTTTTAATTCTTTTTTTTTTGGATTAGATTCCATTTTGATTTTGAACTATATGTGTGTTCTATCGCTTCCCCGATCACCACCGTTCATAGAAGTTATAATTTAACCTTATTTTCTAAATTAAGTCTTCTTCTTTTCTCCACCTTATCCTCCTATCTCTCTCATATCGTCGTCATTCACACTCCATCCATGTCTTCTTCGGTCGACCTCTTCTCCCTCTACCTTGCACTACCATTTCCATACATCTCCTAGTCACATGCGTTTTCTCTCTACGCATCGCATGTCCATACCACGCTAAACGTCCGCTCTTTTATTTTATAAACTAGTTGACCCGGCAGACTTCGTAGTGCCTCAATCGATAAATAAGATCCGTCCGCCGGGGAACACATCAAAGGAAAAACGAAATTGTTATTTTTATTTAATTCTGAGCATTTTCATATGTCCTATACCTACCTTTTAAACCTTCCCTGGACTTCCACATATAATTCAAGACCAAAATTAGCCAAATCGGTCCAGACGTTCTCGAGTTTTAGCGAGACTAACGAACAGCAATTCATTTTTATATATATATATATATAGATTAAGTCTAATCTCCGATTTCTAAAGAAAGTTTTATAAATAAAAAAGTTTAAACTCTATTAAATTCGCAAGATTAAACCGTTATGCCGCAGTGTGCCGGCTGAAGTTAGCTTATCATGCATGTGTAATAAGGTTGCAATGTATCGAGCCATTATGAATTCAGACAGCCGCACTTTTTTTGTTCCTACCTAAGCTGATAGCCTTGAGAGACTATTTCAGCGTAACCTTAACTACTTAGTCTGGCCATAAATACTGTTACAATTAAAAATAAACAAAATATTACATTTGAATTTGGAATCTGTCATTTTTAAATGATTGCTCATTGAGTTTTCTCATTTTGGCGCCAATACATTGTACAATATTTTGCGATATTAAAATGGAGTGGGGTGATAAAGAGAACCGAATCGCTGTGATTGCATTACACAAAGTAGGTATGGAGCCAAATGTAATATGGAAAGAGTGCGTGCTTCTATTGATAACCGGCCTCAACGTTTAAAGGACTGTATTGCAGCCAATGGAGACCACTTCGAATAAGCTTTTTATACTTTAAATTGTTTTATATTTATGTATTAAACTAACACACTTTAAAAGTAATAAATGTTATTTGCAATAGATATTTTGTTTATTTTTAATTGTAACAGTATTAATGGCCAGACTTAGTAGTAGGTGAGCTCACGGAGCTCAAACCGGAGTGATGCTAACACTGACCCTAGCAAGAGCAGTGCTTCGCAGAATCTACCACCGGATCGGAATCGCGACCCACTGAGAAGATCCGGCGAGAAACTCAATGGGCTGTGTCTATGGGTTATTTCGTTCGGATTCGACGCGACGGATTCGACGAGGACGGTGACCGGTGCTTGTGGTACCTAAAAGCACCGTTAATGAATCGGGAGGATCCGTAATGACGTGTTTTGGGCGACGTCGACTGTTTACCATTCGGTCTACAGGATCTGGTATGAACAGTCGCACATAACTCGTCAACCAATACAGTCGAATGGTATATTGTATATGAACCTCGTCAATCAGTGTTCAACAAGTGTACCGCTCCTAACCTATACATATAAATAAAAATGGAGTGTCGGTTTGTAATATTAAAAAACCGCTTTTTACTACATGCATATGAATATATATATATACACCTAAATATCATTTTTTACAATTTTTGTGTCTGTTTGTTCCGGCTAATCTCTGGAACGGCTGGACCGATTTTGACGAGACTTTCACTGATAGATAGCTGATTATATAAGGAGTAGTAACTTAGGCAAAATTTTTTGTACTAGCTTCGCCCCGCGGCGTAACATCGCAGGACTCAGCTATCAATAATAAAATTTAATGTTTCCGAAGCGAAGCGAGGGCGGGTCGCTAGTACTAAATATATTCTATATGTAGAGTACCTTATTATTATTATTTTGATGGGTGAATGAGAGACCCACCTGGTGTTTAGTGGTCACCACAACACATGGACATCAAATACGTTAAATCCGCCGCTCATCTTGAGATATGAGTTCTAATGTCACAGTTTTTACAGCAGAACGGCTGACACGCCCTTCAAGTTGAAACGCATTACTGCTTCACGGCAGAAATAGGAAGGGTGGTGATATCTACCCGTGGGGACTCGCAAGAGGTCCTACCACCAGTTTTGCACTTCGACTATGCGATTACGTCATATAATTCGACAGGAGGACACTATGACTGGAAGTTCTTCTTTGTGTCCATGATGATAAGCTTCAAGTGCGGTTTGACGCTGGGTTTCAGACAATTTAATACGCCACTGGGGCCACTTTACAAAATAGTCTTCATTTCAACAAAATCGAAAAATCAATACATTATACAGTTCACGACTGCAGTTTTAGTCTACATTACTTTTTTACTGGTGGTAGGGCCTCTTGTGAGTCCGCGCGGGTAGGTACCACCACCCCGCCTATTTCTACCGTGAAGCAGTAATGCGTTTCGGTTTGAATTGGGGGGGGCAGCCGTTGTAACTACACTGAGACCTTAGAACTGATATCTCAAGGTGTCTATGGGCTCCAGTAACCACTTAACACCAGGTGGGCTGTGAGCTCGTCCATCCATCTAAGCAATAAAAATAAAAATCAGACTTTCCCATGTAAACTAACCGTTTCCAAAATTTTAAAGATAATAACGTACTACCGTATCAAACTATGCGCCACATTGTCCCACATGGAATGCCCACTAACGAAATTCGCAGGCCAAGTGGAAGATCTCAAAAATTTAACAGAAGAAGCTATCGATTATTTCACAAACTGTAAATTTAAATTATAATCACGCAGTGTAAACGAATGCCATACGATAAATAAATCAATTAAACGCTATTCGATTCCTAAACATATAAATACTTCTACGTTCCGTATAGTTCAACGTTAACCCGCAATGAAACACTAAGGAACCACCCCGCGGAACACGTGACCGATGACCCCGGCGTCAGCTGATTTTGTAATCGTTATATTGCGTGCTATAACTATCAGCAGTAGTAAACAATTGTTATCAGAATTTCCCATGTAAACTAACCGTTTCCAAAATTTTAAAGATAATAACGAACTACCGTATCAATAAAACGATATTCCATTCCTAAACATAAATACTTCTACGTTCCGTACAGTTCAACGTTAACCCGCAATGAAACACTAAGGAATCTCCCCGCGGAACACGAGACCGTTGACCCCGGCGTCAGCTGTTTTTGTAATCGTTATATTGCGTGCTATAACAGTAGTAAACAAATGTTCGTGTGCAAACTTTTTCTCCGTCACATACAATACCGGTATACATTTTTGTCAACGAAAAGTATTTTACCGGTTGTACAATTTCAAACTTCTCGTAGGGTTTTCTTGGTCACGGACGTCTCAAGTGATGATAAAAATAAACAAAACAGAGGCAAGGTTGAGCCGCGAGTGTTTCCTATCTGTTCTCACTCGTATATTATCAAGAGGTAAGTTTGTTTGTTTGTATTAGATGCAGTGGACTAGGACTATGGTTATTCTAAAATAAAAATTACTAATGCAAATAAACAATATCCGTGAATGTGACCTAATTTTGATAAAGATGAGTTGAAATGAGGTTTTAAGTCGTCGTAGCCTAAAGGATAAGACGTCCAGTGCATTTGTGTCTAGCGATGCAACGGTGTTCGAATCCCAGGCGGGTACCAATTTTTCTAATGAAATATGTACTTAACAAATGTTCACGGTTGACTTCCACGGTGAAGGAATAACATCGTATAATAAAAATCAAATCACTCGTGGTAAGACGTGTTGTGAGTCCGCGCGGGTAGGTACCACCACCCTGCAAATTTCTGCCGTGAAGCAGTCGTGCGTTTCGGTTTGAAGGGTGAGGCAGCCGTTGTACTGTACTGAGACCTTAGAACTCATGTCTCATGGTGGGTGACGGCATTTACGTTGTTGATGTCCATGGGCTCCAGTAACTACTTAACAACCAGGTGGGCTATGAGCTCGTTTACCCATATAATCAATAAAAATAAAAGACGAATGTACTCTGTTTGTGATTAGTAATAGAAAATAGTGTTTTCTTGGTTTTTCAAGAATTTGTAATTAATTATTTAATTAATTAATATCTATTAACAGTTAATCAACAAAGCAAAAGCTTATGTTAAGCTCACCTAGCTGTATCGATCCCATGATCTGCGAGGACTGTATCTTCTTGTATGTGATCTCTCCGCCCTCGCCGACGCGCCGGTGTCCGATCTTCCGGTCCGACTTGTGAACTTTGCTGATCGCGCCCATTGGGCCGACGGCTGGCTGGAAACAAAAATAACGGTTTTTTTCTTCTTCTTTTCTCTTTTTAAATTAGGAACTAGTTTCGAAATAATTTAAATGTAGAATAGAAAACGGAAAGCACAAATTAAAAAAAATATATTATATGTTTACAACCTTTCCTGATCAGAGCTTGCTCTCTTTCAAATATATAAATAACAAAACATGTTTCATTTAAAATTGTACAGGTGTAGAAAATTACAATTTAAGAAGATTAAAGACGCATACAACACACACACAGACACAACTATATTTCATGCAATTCAAATATGAACTAACCATGAAAACTGTAAAATATTTGTAGCCTGTTTTATTTACAGGGCATAGATGACCAAATAAAGTCATAGAATGACATTAGAATAATGATTATAACAACATACAAACGGGTGAAATCACCCGTAGATATTAAAGGTGGGAACACATGGTATACATAATATGGCCGTGGTGCGTATTATGGCCTCCGCAAATACCACCACCACCTGCTTATACCTGTCACTAAGCAGGAATGCATTTCAGTTTGAAGATTACGTTATACTATAGAAAAGAAACTTGTGTCTCAAAATGGATCGTAGCATTCACGTTGTCTACAGCCCCAGTAACCACTTAACACCAGGTGGGCGGTGAGCTCTTACACCATTCAATGGAATAAAAAAAAAACACCATTTCGATTTTGATTTTAACATCTACTAGAGGTCCCGTAGTAGTCGAAATTCGACTATAATTAATTGGAATTGTAAAGGGGATTGCCCACTCTCCATAGTGTGCTAGGCCCAAGATGGACATCAAATATTACTATAAAAATGTACTGATTTAAATTCTTAAATGTATTGGATATCTAAAAAATATATTGAAATTGACGCCACTATTATAAAAAATATAATAAAAATAAAAACTCGTTTTGAGGTTAATTTTCTATATAAATAAGTGTCGGATTGTGAGATACTTCAAGAACTTTTCTTTTCTTAATGTTTAAGATGTTCCTAATGTATTTTTATCCAATAGGGTATAAAAACACACTTAATTCTTTAAATATCTATATTTTCTTCATCTTCATACACAATTAGTATCATCTAAAAATAGCAAAGGAGAGCATATACACGGTTTTAAATCTCGGTCAGGGTAAAACCACAATTCACACAATGTTTTTTAGTCGTAGTATGAAACGTTATTGATAAAAGTAAAATAAATCGAAGAAAAATCAAAACACATCCATTTTGTACGCAAGCACAACACCACAAGCAGCAAGCGAAGTGTCAGTCAGTCAGATTAAATTCAGTGTTGTCAGTATAAAGAAAAATAATTACATGAAATTCATATATCGATTATTTTTTTAAATAACCGATAATTGATTTATATCTTAATCTTTTTTTTACGAGTACACATTATTTTTTATGTTTTTGTTTTAGTTGTACATATTTAAATAACAATACTAGTAAAGTTTTTTTTATTGCTTAGATGGGTGGGCGAGCTCACAGCCACCCTGGTGTTGCTAAGTGGTTACTCGAGCCCACATACATCTACAACGTAAATGCGCCACCCACCTTGAGATATAAGTTCTAAGGTCTCAAGTATAGTTACAAGTTAAAGTCCAATGGGTATGTCTTCGATGTTATTTTATGTGCATAAAATCCATTAAAATCGTTTGATTAATGATAATACTTAAAATGATTTATTTATATGTTTTATTTATATACTCAAAATATTTACTTCATACGTAAAAGGATTTGAAGCTGGCAATATTTTTCCCGCAAAAATAAAAATCCTTGTTTTTTCAATAGAGTTACTTTTTTTAAACTACTTATTGTAAACTATAGTGGCGCTTATTTGCAAGAAAGTAAATGCATATTTATTTATGACAAAATTAATGCACTAAGTATTTTTTCTATAATCTATTGTCCGCTTTGGGCCTAAAATGGGCCATCCCCTTTGTACACTATTATTATTGTATTTTATACTTCTATAATCACAAATTTCTCCAAGACTACATTATAAAAAATATTAACAAAGATAAACAATATTTAATCTATTCTCAATTTGACAACAGACGTCAAGAACAAAAGTTTGACAATAAATAGTATGCATGCGTGTGTGCGTCAAATACGTGGTATGTAGTGTGTGTAATGTTTTCTTTATTGATTTAATGTATCTTTTATGCATTATTTAAAAAAATTATTAGCATTGTGCACTTCTTCCCTAAATTCTCTATAAGTGTGGAAAATTTCATACTCCTCCGTCCGCACAATTTTCGTAAAAAAGGATACAAAGTTTTTTCTTCACGTATTAATATATAGATAACAGACCACTAAGATAAAGAACCTTTTGGCCTTAAGCAACCACCAAACAATTGATATAATACTGTGTCGCAGAAAATGTGGTCAACGCAACCCTTTGCAATTCCCAATTCATCAAATAATCAATGCATAGGATTGCAAAGATAAAAATTCCAAAAAAATAAAGACCTTATTTTGAAACACAACTTGACAATAGACCTAAAAAAAAAAAGTGACAAATTTTGATGCGTCTCCTACCAAACATTAAACAAATGACGTCAGAAACAGTAACTGTCATTTCAACTTGGTTGCATAGTTTTCAAGGTCAGCAGCTATACCTAAATCATAATCGATGATTTACATCCAAAGTGCATACCTATATGCTATAGCTGATTTTGTATTACCATGTCTTTTTGTAGAACGGAAATCGTCGCAGTTTTCGTGCATAGTTCTATTAATTTATGTTAAAACAAAATTATGTTTTGTGCGTATAGGAAAGAAATACATAAATATGTTGTTGTTGTACTTATTGAATTATTGACAGAGAAATGGCTCAGAGACCTTTGGACGTTGGTTTTTTATTGCAAAGATGCGATAAACGTAACAAAAGTATCGACGATGTTTGATGTTTGTTACGCAGTTACTGAAGGCTCTAGTGACCACAGTGCAAATATCGACAGGGCAAATAGTTCTGGTAAAACTTGAAAGGCCTTCGAGCCACTAGTAATCATTCCTTCCTTTCTAAATAATAAATATATATTAAGGTATGTGTCTACCGTAAGAGATGATTGGAGAATCTAATGGTCACTGGCAAGGTGGACGGAAGAAGACCACGAGGTAGAGAGGCCCGACAAGTTGGACTGACCTGATCCGCACTACGCTCGACACCACGATTCACCACAGACACTCGGCCGCAGATAGGAGCAAATGGCGTAGAATGATCCAGAATAGGCTTTTGTTGCGAGGAGGTGGTCACGACCCTCAGTATTGAGGAAACCGAAGCGAGAAGAAGAAGTACGTAAGTAAGTCTACCGTAAAAAAAATGCTTGTCACAACAGCCCATCGGCTTTATCACTCTTATCTGTAGTTTCAGTACAATTTCCTAGTGCATCACTGAAAAAACGTTGGAAATATCAGAAAACAGAAACTGGCTATGTCGTTTCACATAAATTATAATTTGCCTAACTCCTAGTGGTAATAAGACTGTACTGGTGGTAGGGCGTCTCAACGCAACGCATTGCTAATCAAGTCCAAAATATGGTTTGCAAAACAAAGAGCGCAATATCTCGAGTTGAAAAGTTTTTATACGAATCCTAGCATATATACTTAGTCTGGCCATAAATACTGTTACAATTAAAAATAAACAAAATATTACATTTGAATTTGGAATCTGTCATTTTTATATGATTGCTCATTAAGTTTTCTCATTTTGGCGCGAATACATTGTACAATATTTTGCGATATTAAAATGGAGTGGGGTGATAAAGAAAACCGAATCGCTGTGATTGCATTACACAAAGTAGGTATGGAGCCAAATGCAATTTTTAAAACTCTCCATACGCTTGGTATTAGTAAAATGTTTGTGTACCGGGCTATTAATAGGTGCAATGAGACCTCCTCTGTTTGTGACAGAAAAAGATCTGGCCGTCCACGTAGTGTTCGTACGAAAAAGGTGGTCAAAGCAGTANCAGAATTTCCCATGTAAACTAACCGTTTCCAAAATTTTAAAGATAATAACGTACTACCGTACCAATAAAACGCTATTCCATTCCTAAACATAAATACTTCTACGTTCCGTATAGTTCAACGTTAACCCGCAATGAAACACTAAGGAACCTCCCCGCGGAACACGAGACCGTTGACCCCGGCGTCAGCTGTTTTTGTAATCGTTACATTGTGTGCTATAACTATCAGCAGTAGTAAACAAATGTTATCAGAATTTCCCATGTAAACTAACCGTTTCCAAAATTTTAAAGATAATAACGTACTACCGTACCAATAAAACGCTATTCGATTCCTAAACATATAAATACTTCTACGTTCCGTATAGTTCAACGTTAACCCGCAATGAAACACTAAGGAACCTCCCCGTGGAACACGAGACCGTTGACCCCGGCGTCAGCTGTTTTTGTAATCGTTACATTGCGTGCTATAACAGTAGTAAACAAATGTTCGTGTGAAAACTTTTCCTCCGTGACATACAATACCGGTATACATTTTTGTCAACGAAAAGTATTTTTTTACCGGTTGTACAATTTAAAACTTCTCGTACAGTTTTCTTGGTCACGGACGTCTCAAGTGATGATAAAAATAAACAAAACAGAGGCAAGGTTGAACCGCGAGTGTTTCCTATCTGTTCTCTTTCGTATAGTATAAAGAGGTAAGTTTGTTTGTTTGTATTAGATGCAGTGGACTAGGACTATGGTTATTCTAAATTAAAAATTACTAATGCAAATAAACAATATCCGTGACTGTGACTATATTATGATAAAGATGAGTTGAAATGAGGTTTTAAGTCGTCGTGGCCTAAAGGATAAGACTTTTTTTTTTATGAGTGAAAGGTTACTTACTGGTGGCCCGGAGGCCTTTCCAGTTTCACCAGGACAGGTGGGCGAGCAAAGACTCAGCCAGGAGGGGTGGGATTTGCTAACAGCTACCCGAGCGCCTCCGAAGGAGACCTAAGAGCTCAAGAGTAGCTGCTTCGCGAATGAATCTACTACCGGATCGGAATCGCGACCCGCTGAGAAGATCCGGCGAGAAACTCAGCGATCTGATTCATGGGTTAGGTTGCACGGCGAACTCTTTGTCGAGGGAACTCTTTGTCGAGCGGATAAGACGTCCGGTGCATTCGTATCTAGCGATGAAACTGTAGTCGAATCCCGCCATCGGGCACCAATTTTTTTAATGAAATACGTACTTAACAAATGTTCACGATTGACTTCCACGGTGAAGGAATAACATCGTATAATAAAAATCAAATCACTCGTGGTAAGACGTGTTGTGAGTCCGCGCGGGTAGGTACCACCACCCTGCAAATTTCTGCCGTGAAGCAGTCGTGCGTTTCGGTTTGAAGGGTGAGGCAGCCGTTGTACTGTACTGAGACCTTAGAACTCATGTCTCATGGTGGGTGACGGCATTTACGTTGTTGATGTCCATGGGCTCCAGGTGGGCTGTGAGCTCGTTTACCCATATAATCAATAAAAATAAAATAAAAAAGGCGAATGTACTCTGTTTGTGATTAGTAATAGAAAATAGCGTTTTCTTGGTTTTTCAAGAATTTGTAATTAATTATTTAATTAATTAATATCTATTAACAGTTAATCAACAAAGCAAAAGCTTATGTTAAGCTCACCTAGCTGTATCGATCCCATGATCTGCGAGGACTGTATCTTCTTGTATGTGATCTCTCCGCCCTCGCCGACGCGCCGGTGTCCGATCTTCCGGTCCGACTTGTGAACTTTGCTGATCGCGCCCATTGGGCCGACGGCTGGCTGGAAACAAAAATAACGGTTATTTTTTCTTCTTTTCTCTTTTTAAATTAGGAACTATTTTCGAAATAATTTAAATGTCGAACAGAAAACGGATCGCACAAAGTAATTTTTTTTTTCTATTGTATTTTTACCTTTCCTAATCAGAGCTTGCTCTCTTCCAAAAATATGTAAATAATACAGCATGTTTCATTTAAAATTGTACAAGTGTAGAAAATTACAATTTGAGAAGATTAAAGACGTGAGAACGCATAGAACACACACACACACAAAAACAATTCTTGAAAATTCTTATATGTAATGTATATTTCATGCAATTAAAATATGAACTAACCATGAAAATTGTAAAATATTTGTAGCCTGTTTTATTTACAGGCGCATTTATATGACCATAATAAAGTCATAGAATGACAGAATAATGATTACCATTGTAATATATCGGTGTTACGAGTATAATAATATACAAACGCATAGAACCAATCGTAGATATTAAAGGTACCTACCTATACGTGGTATACATAATCTAAGGAGATACAGCCCAAGCTGAAAATGTGATCAATTCAAACCTACATCGACGCTTGAAAGGCAAAAGTGACTAAGCGACAATAACTGCTTTGTACATAAATGATAGGCAATAACCATTTTCGATGCGCAAAAAAAATATATTTCTAGGTTTATTAAAATCATTTCAATCTTACAGCTACTAGTTAGATTCTACTACAGCTAGATTCGTTTAAAGCGTCGATATATTCTCAATTCATTTGAGCATACGATTAAAAAGAGAAAAGTGACAAAAAAACTAAAGACTTTATTTTGAAACACAACTTGACAAGAGACAAATAAAAAACAAATTTTGTGACAAATTTTTATGCGTCTCCTACCAAACAGTACACTAATGACGTCAGAGACTGTTATTTCAACTTGGTTGCATAGTTTTCAAGGTCAGCAGCTATACCTAAATCACAATCGATGATTTACATCCAAACTGCATACATGCTATAGCTGATTTTGTATTACCATATCTTTTTGTGGAACGGAAATCGTCGCCGTTTTCGTGCATAGTTCTAATAATTTATATGTTAAAACAAAATTATGTTGTGTGCGTAATCAGTTTAGGACGTGACCGGAGGATTCGGTCCATGGTCGGGAAGTCACTCCATGAAAACGCACGTTTGTTTTCTCTCAGGTTGAGCCCGTGAGCTTGCCTACCCGTCTACGCGAAGCTAATTTATTTTCCTTAACTATTCTAGTAACCTCGAGGGGTTATTCTAGGTTCACCCAACTAGTAGGTGAGCTCGAGGGACTCAAACCTGACGTTCTTGCTAACACGGATCCTAGCAAGAGCCGTGCTTCGCAGAATCTATCGCCGGATCGGAAACGCGATCCACTGAGAAGATCCGGCGAGAAACTAAGTGGACTGTGTCTGTTGGTTAATTTACTCCCCAAGCCCTTCGTCGCAAGCGACGTGTTCGACGAGAACGATGACCGGTGCTTGTGGTACCTAAAAGCACCGTTAGTGGATCGGGAGGGTCTGAAATGACATGTTTTGGGCGACGTCGACTGTTTACCATTCGGTCCGCAGGATCGGGAATGTAGTTACCGTAGAATGTAGTTAATGTAGAAATAAAGAGAAAAAAAATGTAATTATAAAAAATTCGGTACCCAATCAGTACTATACTACGCTTCGAGCGCGGGGGGGGGGGGTGTCAACGGTATTTACTTCTCTATTTAACACACCCGAAACTCGTTCGAGCCCTTTGAGTAACGCGGCAACGGCTTTTATAAATAAACAACGCTTGAGTTATGAACTAAACGACACGTCCAAAGTGTCAGGAGGGGGTCAACGCACTGTCTGTTTGTCACACGACGCTTTTAAATTTGGGGTGAGATCTATAGCTAACTATTTAAACGATAAAGCTAGTATTCACGTCTTTATTTTTAAGATGGGTGGACGACCTTACGACAAAACCTACTGTAAAGTGGTGACCGAAACCCATAGATATAAACTACGTTAATGCCCATCTTGAGACATGACTTCTAAGTCTCAGCTTTTACACTACAACGGCTGCTCCATTCAAACCGAAAAGCATTACTGCTTCACGGCAGAAATAGGTAGGGTGGTGGTACCTACCCGTGCGGGCCCACAAGTCGCCCTATCACCAGTAAAGACCGCTCCTTATAGGATTATGTTCGGCCTTCGCGATTCGTAGAAATAATTAAAACTACGTTTCAGTTGATACCGTTCAGATTTCATGGTCACCTTAGTCATGGACGACGAAATATTTCGAGACTTAAGGAAATAATATAATAACAATAAAAAAATGCAAGATTAAACCGTAAAACTAGTTCTAATTAGGACTACTTTTTTTCTCATTCGCATAAATATAATTATCATCCATTCCTTTAGATCAGTGGTTCCCAAACTTATTTTGTCTACTGCCCACTTTAAGAATAAATTATTTTTTAGCGCCCCCAATTTTTTCTACCTACTTAAAAACCACTATAGCGAGAGCTCAGTCGTGTCTAAGTCCTTCTAGATGAAATTCAAAATCGCCTCCCAAGCCTCTATAAAACGCCCCCTATTTTTGTCTGGGTCTCTTACCGCCCCCCATTAGGCCTGCAGTGCCCACAAGGGGGCGTTATCGCCCACTTTGGGAAAGACTGCTTTAGATGAATGGAATTGATCTCACAAAATTTGATTTTAGGTATTCAAGTAGACAAGTCAAAATGAAATTAAAGAAATGGTTAACACGAGCATCTTGCAATACATATTAAACCAGCACCGAAGAAAATAAAATGTCTAGGCTGTTGCGAGGCCATTGTGTATATCAAGGATCTTTGTTTACAGCATTGGACGAACATCAATGCCACTGCTGTAGCTACTATGTCATGTTTCCTGTTAAGACAATAAGAGCCACTTTCCAGTAACCATAGCGCGCAACTATCTGCACGATTATAGCTATTATTTCTTGAGTTAGTTTTTTTGGGAATGACTACTGGTAGCTCGAAAGCCTTTCCGGTTTCACCAGGAAAGATGGGCGAGTATAGACTCAGCCGGATGAGATAATATAGTGGGTGAACTCTGCTTCGCTAACGGGAGGTGCGATGGTAAGAAGAAGACTGAGGGATCAGTAACTACCCATTGAAAAAGCGGTACAAAACACTGAGAGAACAGAAGGCTATGCGTAGATCTTATTTAGTAATTACAAGATATAAATTTGGTGCAATAGAGAGTGCTACATAGGGCGTCACATTACACATACAGTACACAAGCCGCAGATAGGCAAACATTGGAAAATGGCCCTTAATAGCCACGCGACATAGTACTTAGATATTGCAACGTTCGCAAACAAGCAGCTGCTTTTTATGACCTTTAGGTTATCTTTCCACAATATTATGAGGGTCGTCTAATACTGCGCACAAGGTGGGTCATACGCGAAAGCGTGACCACAATTTAGAGATTATGATTTGTTCGTTAGGGTACCCACCGAGGGTCGGATAGACAGCTGCGGAAAGCGACCCGCATTCTATGCATAACTATTAAAGACTAGCTGAGCCGGCAGACTTCGTAGTGCCTCAATCGGGACACATCAAAGGAAAAACATTTTGTTTTTTGTTTTTATATAATTCCGAGCATTTTCATATTTATTCAACTTTTAAACCTTCTCTGGACGTCCACGAATAATTCTAGATCAAAATTAGCCAAATCGGTCCAGCCGTTCTCGGGTTTTAGCGAGACTAACGAACAGCAATTCATTTTTATATAATATATAGATAGAAGATAGATAATAGACAAAAAAAAATGCTCCGAATAGTCGATAAAATATTATAGTATACTTTAGAACTGATATTGTGAGCGCTGGATACCAATAACAATTAGTTGATTACTCGCATTCTTATCGAAAAGTTGCAACTACACGATGTGTGTATGTTTATAAACAATACCATGTTTATGAATGCATCACACATTTGAAATAAACGACAAAATTAGATAAACTCTTACAGTTAAAATCTTGGTGCCGATATTTTTATGTACACTAGAGGTCCCGCAGTAGTCGAAATTCGACTATAATTAATTGGAATTGTAAGTTTGTACACTATTATGATTGTATTTTATACTTCTATAATCACAAATTTCGCCAAGACTACACTATAAAAAATATTAACAAAGACAAAGAATATTTAATCTACTCTCAATTTGACAACAGACGTCAAGAACAAAAGTTTGACGATAAATAGTATGCATGCGTGTGTGCGTCTAATACATGGTATGTAGTGTGTGTAATGTTTTCTTTATTGATTTAATGTGTCTTTCATGCATTATTTAAAAAAAATATTAGCATTGTGCACTTCTTCTCTTTATTCTCTATAAGTGTGGAAAATTTCATACTCCTCCGTCCGCGCAATTTTCGTAAAAAGGGATACAAAGTTTTTTCTTCACGTATTAATATATAGATACCATGTTTTTGAATGCATCACACATTTGAAATAAACCGCCAAATTAGATAAACGCTTAAGCTTAAAATTTTAGTGTCCTTATTTTTATGCATTATCTGCGTCTGCTCTTAGAAGCAGGTTCGAAACCATTGTCCATGTTTTAATATTTTTTTGTGGTACTATGCAATTTGTGTCTTTTGGTTCGTTAACGAGTATTTGAGAACAGGCTATGTAATGTGTTCATCATAATAACGCTATGGTGTTGTTAATTAACAATTAAAAAAACATTAAGCATAAAACTGGTACGATTTAATTATCATTTTTTCGTTATCAAAATAATAACAGGATTTGTATTGACAATGGATGGATATAACAAAATACAATTCTGATGTAGGATATTTATATTAAACATGACATATATTTTACTGAGAAGACTTGTCATTTGTCATGACACCCAAAAATTACGTCTAATATTTGCCAAATATTTCTGGCCACCATTCATGAAATCACTTCCTATTTAAAAACCATACAATATCCAACTACATACATAGATATTGTAATACAAA